CCAACACCCCCCCCCCCCAAAAAAAATAATAATTTAAGTTTGTTTTTAAAAAATATTTTCAATTTCAAAAATTATTTTCTACTCTAGTAAAAATAAAAGATATTTTTCATTCATAAATCAAACACTAAAAATATTTTCCGAAAAGTATTTTCTACTCACCAACCAAACTGCCCCCCCCCCCCCCCCCCCCCCCCCCCCCCAAGCAAAGCAATCTAAGCAATTTGCGGGTTCAGTAGTAGGAAAGAAAGGGCCCTCTCACTCAATTCAATAACATGTTCTAGGGCATCTTTTTCTAATAATAATGTTCGCATTTGACCAGGCTTTTTGGACGTTCCATGATTAAACCGACTAGCGGCACTTTCGAGATGCCACCTTGAAATAGAAAGTCTTTTCAATTCCATTTGACTCGGGGCGTCAGGGACCCTCCAACAGAAACCGTGAGAAAATAAGTCAAAAATCGACTTGTTTTCCAGGAAAACATTTTCCTTCATACCAAACACACCCTACAATTAAAAGTGGACATAGGGAGTATTAACCTTGAAAGTATGAATTTGAATAACATGGGAAAACTACATGATTAATTCATGTTCATTGGTCAATTAATTTATCAAAATAAATTAATTTATGTTCATTTATTGAAAACTTGACTTTAAGAGAATACTAAATAAAGTTATAATGGTAAACTTACGAGAAAATGCCATATATAGTCAAATTTCTCTACGTAAAATAAAATGAATAGAATAATAAAATTAATCTATTTTTTTAAAAAAGTTGCAAATCTACCATTTTTATAAATTTCAATTTCTGAAAAATTAAACAATTTCCCTTCAATAAAGTCGTTGGAGTACAAATTTTGAATTCAACGTGTAATAATTTTTTTTTGTAATAAAGTGTAGCATATTTAAGTCATTAGTAGCAATGTTATGCTTCATTTTATCGTCTGTTTTCGTGAATTTTATTTAGGATCGTCGATATTAAGGTTATTTGCAAAGGATAATTTGAAGTAAAAATAGGGGAGAGTGAAACAATTGAAAAAATGGCTAAAGAAGTTAACTTCTCGAGACATGAATTATTGTTAATATAAACCTAAGTTATTTGTATAAAAAATAGATAGAAATCAAATCTGATAAGTTTTTAAATATACCTAAGGGACTAAAACCGATAAATGTATAGTTAAGGAACTAAAATTGATAAATGTATAGTTAAGGGACCAAATTTGATAAGTTTTTGAATAGTTGAAGGAATAAATTCGATAAAAATATAGTTATAGGATCATTTTAGACCTACTCCTATAGTTGAAGAGTTATTTATGACATTTTCTCGTAAACTTACTTTATTTTTCAAATGACGTGAAATCTAAAATGATAACATATCAATAGAAATGAAAGTAGTACTAGTGAGTGAAATGTAATGGAGGAAGTGCATAAAAAGTTTTACTTTTTTTCCAAATTGAAATTCAGACAACTCTTTTTTTTAATATATTTTAAATTATGAATTATTTTTATTTACTATACTATTTATATAAATTTCAAATATATAAATTTTATGCTCAGCAATCAAAATTGAACTATTTAACTTCATACAATTAGAGTATAGTATTTTGAAAGAGATTAACTTATATCCACTGACAGTGGATAAGAAAATTATACTATCAGTTCATTTTTTAAAATATGTTTTATTATTAATTTTAATTATTATATTTTCATATTTAAAGATTAATGATTTTTCAGTTTCCCTTTTTCAATTTATTTTTTTAAAACATGTTCACTAGGTCTAAGATTTATTTCTTGAAATAACGTTCAACTATTTTTGTTACTATTGACTTTGAGTATTTTATTTAAATAAATTGGAGTATATGTGATGTTGTATGGATCAAAGTCTGTTTTCTATTAATTTTGTATTATTTGCAATTAATTTTTGTATTGTTGATTGAATTGAGAACACCGTTTGAAGCAATAGAAGCAACTATCCAAAAATATTTTTCATATTGCTAAGAAAACTTAATAAGTTATGAATATTTAATTTATGAGATTAATTAGTCTAGATTTTAAAGAAAAAAATAGTAAAAAGTTACCATTGATGATTATCTCAATTGGCTTGAGGTGGAAATAATGAGGACAAAAAAGCGATAAAAGAATCCTTCTTATTAAAGTTCTATAATTTCAATCATGAAAAAACTTACTATAAAATAAATTTATATAGCAAGATTCGAACCTGAAACATCGGATTAAGACACGGGCCCTAGTGGTAGCTTGTCCAAAATTGGAAACTGGAGGACAGTAAAAAGCCCTTTCTTCTTTGCTGTAAAGCTCCGAGAGGTTGCCTCCGCCGATTTGCACAGAGAATTCATCCGCCACATTGACAGCCGTTCAATTTTGGGCAAGAAAAGGAGGTGATTTTATAATCTAGGTCTAATTGCTTTATGTTAAAATCTTAAATATGCAATTACTTTTGTGTTCTTAGGTCCTGAGTTTATCGACCCAGTTGAATTTGTCTTCTTCTTTTACTATAATTTAAGAGGATTATTATTAGAGTTTGAACTCGATTTAGCTTTATGAAGTCTGAAAGATTTCATCTTTTTCCTCATTTAATGACTATTACTTGATGTTTTACCTATTGTTGATCATGAATTTGTTAGGTTGCCTTTTTTCTGGGTCCAATTTACGTTACTCTGGCTTTGAGTTTTGCCCGGATATGGAGGGCAAAAAGGGATACTAATCTGCTGTGTTTTGATTATTTTTGCTGGTAGGGTATCCTAATTTCATCCTGATAAAATTTGATAAGCCTCTGCTAAGCTTCCTAGATTTAGTGATGGATTGATTAAGGATTATTATAAAGGGTTTCTATTTTGATATATTTGTGCTGAATAAGTGTGTTTTAAAAATGTTTGTGTCAAAGGAATGATGCACATTGGAGGAAGAAGATTGCTAATGTTTTCTTCAAAGAAAAATGGTGAGAAATTACTTAATCAGCGGCAATGGTTCTTCCGTACAATAGAATGGATGTATCATGTGCGAAATGTATTCTTAATTAGAATACATGTATTTGACGCTTATGTTGTTCCAACTCTTCAAATATATAACTATTGGAGTTTAAATTTCCCAAGTCTGTGTCTAGCTTCAAAACCTTAGAGTTCAATTCCTTTTTGGTTTTTGATTTTTTTATGATAGAGTCATTCAAGGCTAAGTTTGCACCAAAAAATTGAAGTCGTTTCGTTGAAATGTTTGCTGTTCAAACAGTGAAATCTTCTCTTAGATTTGTTAAATTTGAGTAGAGAGCTTGTGAAAAGGACAATGTCTTTGGAGGAGATTTCCTTGTAATATGACCATTCAATTTCGTTAATCCCCACTAGACTCTAGAGACAGTTCTGGTCAAATATTGACTTTAACTTGCAGTGTTGTTAATGTAGGCTCATTCAATTTGGAACTTTGATATTAAGCCTTCAAGTCTGGCATTGTAAGCAATTCTAGTCTTTGGATTGACAAATGAATTTTCCTTGCGCAACTTTGAGAAAACTAAAACCTGTGTCTATTGTAGATTGACTTTGAATGTAGAACATTGACTTTCTTATCGCGAAGATCTCACTGAAATTACTGGTGAAAAGGATCTAATTGAAACATCCCCCTCCATTATTGACTCAATACTTATTTACTAAATCATAGTAGGTCCGATAAAGGGATATTTCTGTTAAATGTCAAAGGATATTAGTTGCTTGGACGTAGGAATCATATGACTTTGTGGATGTTTTAGTAAGAAGCTGCGGTAGCCTGTGGAACCTTTCTTTTTTTCTACATCCAACCACAAAATATGATATAGTGGTAGGAATATCAACTATAATGACTTACAAATTTTCTTGTAATTCTTGTGCTATGTTCTTTTGGTTATGTTAGGAGACTTATTACTTGGCTGGGCATCATAAGGCCCATCATTTTGATGGTTTATACATTAAGTGTTATTCTTTGAGTCTAAAGTCAAAACTGTCAATACCAGCCAGAATTGATGATGAGATATTCTTGAAAGAAAAAAAGCCTCAAAAACAGTCACCTTGGTACAGTTCTCTCATCTTGAATTAGAGGATAATGGAATTATCTTGCTTAATTAAAACTGTAAAATGTATGGAGAAGGTAGAACAAATGAAGGCCAAAGCTTTAGACATGGACAGAGATTCTTCAGCATGACCCTATATTCAGTCTTGCAAATCGTTTTGTAGAATGGGGAAAAAATGATGTTTTGGTGTCCAATTTATTTAAAAATAAATTATGTGCCATGCTGTGTCGGTGCTCTGTATATTGAGATGTCTGGAACAGTATTCTCTATATCATTCATTGGGTTCTTATTTGTTGATAGTACTACCACAACAATTTTTCCCTCTATATTATCTTTGAGGGTGTAAGAAATTGATAATGTTGGTAAGTGGTTTTCATGTTACCTGGGATTCATGTTTTGTTACTTTGGTGCTTAGTGTTTGGAGGCTGTGATCATCAGTGCTTCTCTCTTAACTGTCTGATGCTCATTGGCATTATTCTCGTCCGGAATTTATTGTAGTAATCTGACCTTTTTATTAATTCCTGAGTGGATCCTCCCTACCTCCCTCTGCCCCACCAACACCCCAAAGATATTGTGGATGATAACCAGAACTTAATGGGATATTACCTCAGACTGCATGCATGAATTACCAATTATCTTTTCAGGGTTCTTTTGTTTTTATGTGTGAAATCGGTTAGGGAGATTGCATAAGTTAGAATCTAGAAGTTGGATTCTATTATTCCTGTGGATTATACAACTGCAGTTTTCTTTCAGACTCCACCCTTCTGATATCAATAGCTGTTTATCCTTGTAGATCAATTATAGAGATATGCAAGACCAGAGAGGACTGGAGGAAGCTTCAGCTCCTAAATTGCGGAAAAAGAAAACATCACAACCAAAGGCTCCAGTGTTGCAAAAAGAAGGGAATAAGACAAAAAGGATGCAAGATGTGCGTGCAATGCCAATTCAAAATGGGTTAACACCCACCAAAAGAGTCCCACCAAACGAAGTTTCCCCATTATTCCAATATGCTGAGAAATCAACACCTGAATTCTCGCCAGATGCTTCCACTTCTGGAAAAGAATATCGAGGATTAAGGAGAAAGTATCTATTGCTGGAAGAAGAAAGTTTTGGTCTTAATAAAGAATTGAGAGAAGCCGAAGATGAGATCAAGGCCCTTGAAGACGAGAAGCTAACACTCCTTGATGATCTTGTTGTGTTAGAAGGCCTGGTTGATCCTTCAGATATTCAATCCCAAGGCCAGCGATTATGATGGTTTATTCAAAATCTGTTTTTCAGTAAACTGGGGATATATACAGAATTGTGTACAACAATCCAACTTCTGTTAGCATAAAGTTGAGATTGTAACGATGCATTATATTACATCGACTGGTTATTTATTGCACAATGACCAATCTAAACTTCCTCCCAGCCTCTCCTAGTCTTATTCAAAATGCATGTTGGATCAGTTGGAAGTCGCAAGACTTGTACTTACCAGAGTGTGTGAAGAAAACTGCATTTTGTCTGTTTCTTGGGTTTTATAATACCAACATGATAAGATATTCCATTAAAGAATGAACTACTAGTACATATAGAAGCAGAGACACAGAGAGATGCCAATCCATAATGCAATTACTAGACAAGTAAAAGAATTTGCAGTATGCCTATGAGTAAGCTGACTAGGTTGCAAGAACCAAAACTCAAAACTAGGGACAAATAGAATAAATAATTACTAATTATTTGTATTCTGCTACTAATTACATGTATTCTACTAAGAATTTTGTGTTGGCTTCATGCAACCATTTTCAGCCGCTACTGTGTGTAATATCTTGTTACTTCCCTTTTATAACACAAATAAATAGCACTGCAGCTGAACTATACCATGGTACCCATGTTGGAATGTGCCACTCTGACAACAAGTGGAGATGTTACCCATGTTCTTTTGTTCCTCCATGACAAGGACCCAAAGACATATCCCTGTGTAGGTGCAGCCACTTTGAAAGTCACAGTGAAATTCATCTTCTGGTAATATCTAGTGAAGGCTAATCTTCGTGGTACCACAGTAACATTGATACCCTTTGGTGCAAATATAACTGCCTTGTAATTACTCCTTGATTTTCCCACATTTGTGACAGTTCGAGTTACTGAGTATTTGTTTCTGAGGTCTGGTACTGTGATGGAGGGATAATTTAGTTCATTTGGCGATGCAAAGGTTTGATCACACGTTCTGTTGTCCCTTGTAATTAGATGCAGAGATTTCTCGTCATAACCAATTGAACAAAGAAATGCTCTGTAATCTGCTGGTTGTGCATCATATATCAGACCAGGATCCAGGACTTTCGTGGGGTTAACGAATCCAGAACCAAAATCAAATGGATTAGCTCTCTTCCCTTCAGGATCTACTATTATGGGTTTGTGATGCATATCTGATAGTTTGGCTGCATTAACATTCATGACATTAGATTATTGTGTTATAGTTAAATTCACTTTATACACACAAATAGTTTTTAAGATACAAAGCTCAAACAAAACCATGAGTATTTTTATGATAACATGCTCAAACAAAACCAAATCTTGATCCCCTCACCCTTTTCTTTCTTTGAAGCAAACCTCAGACTCAAGAGTTGCATAGTAGACTATGTAAGGCATCTAGTTTACCTGTTGTCATGATGGCTGATTTGATTGCAGAGGGAGACCATGATGGATGCACGGCTTTTAACAAGGCAACAACTCCTGATATGTGAGGGCAAGCCATGGAAGTTCCAGAGAGTATGTTGAAGTTCAAATTAGACATTGCTGGGGACCATGCTGCCAGGATATTTAATCCCGGAGCAGTAATATCAGGCTACAAGGTAAATCAGCAGGTATATTATACTTGCAAGAAAAAAAAAATCTCAAATAAAGTAGGTACAAAGAGATGCAAAGTTAAAGAACTAATCTAAAACCACATTGAAGATCCTGGAAGGAAATCTCAGGATGCAACATAAGACTTTGTTGGTCTCAATGATAAAAGCAAAGGGGATCGATGTTGAAAACAAGTAGTCATTAAAAGACAAGTTTCTAAAATTCTATACTATTTTAAGCAAATAAATTACCTTCAAAATTTCTGGTGTTAGAGAATTAGGACCTCTTGAAGAAAATGCTGTTACTCGAGGAGCAGGTTGAGCTCCCAAAACAGTTTTAGCAGAGAGAATCCTTGCCGTAGGGAGGCTGTTAATATAAAAAAGATGAGATGATTGCTAATAATATCAAAGAAAAATAAAACAAACATCAACAGCCACTAAGAAGGAAGTGAACCGTGTATTATTAATGTAAGCTAGGATCTTGTTTCCAATCCTTTTCCCAACAGTTGCTGCTGGAATGGTGAAAGGGATAGCCACACCCTTGTCTGCTTCATCAATAAGGATCATCCCAACCCCACCAGCTTGTTTAACTATATTGCTTTTCTCCAGCTTTGACTCACTTGAGCTTCCAGCATGTCGACACACAAGAACCTTCCCTTTGGCCTTAGTTCTATTCAAAGAACTATCTAAGCAATAACTAGTGGAAAAGATAGGAAGGAAAAAGTACTTTAATATAATTGTCAATGCATACATATCTACATTTAACAAACAGTTAAGTACCTTCTGCTTCACCTGGATTGATAGGGAGTGAAGTATCCAGCATAAGCTTCAGAAGCAGGTATGATCCTTGCAGATGTATTCATTTGAGATAAGCTAAGACTATCACCCTTCCAAATATCCAGAGCATAATGAGGAGATAGAAATTGAATATTACTTAACATATAAACTAATCGAAAAGTGCGATTACCATAAGTTGAACTCTATTTCCTAGTAAAATATCAGACGTAAAATCTCTGTCGGTTGAACTGGCTGCAACTGTGATCATCCAAGGAGCTAAATTTGTGGCTGAACCAGAGGTTCCTTCATTTCCAACGGAGGCCACCACAAGTATACCACGGCTAACAGCATGAAATGACCCCACAGAAATTGCATCACTAAAATAATCTCCTTGGGGAGCATCTGGGCCCAAAGATAGAGAAATGACATGAACCCCATCTCTAATTGCATCATCAAATGCAGCCAACAAATCAACATCATAGCAACCAGAACTCCAACAGGTTTTGTACACTGCTATCCTGGCCATTGGGGCACCACCTCTGGCTCCTCCAGATGCCAAACCTTTGTAATTCATATCAGCTACGTAACGCCCAGCAGCAGTTGAAGCTGTATGACTTCCATGACCAGTACTGTCCCTGGCAGACTTGAACATGGTCTTTCCATCATCTACTTCAGCTGCATAGCCACTCATATAATATCTTGCCCCAATTATTTTCCTATATAAGACAAAATTCTTTTTGGACTTATCATCTATATAACAAAACATTAAACTGCAAGAAATGGTTGACAAATAAAAGAAACCTGTTGCATATTGAGGCATTGAATGCCTCCCCTGATTGGCATTGTCCTTTCCATCCAGCTGGCACTGGAGGCATGTTGGTGTCGCTAAAACTTGGAGATTCAGGCCAAATTCCTGTTTCAGTAAATGTCTTAAGAGCTTAACCTCAAGGTCTAATTAGTTCGAAAAAACAAGGGAAACAAGGAAGCTGGGGACCAGGCTAAAGATAAACTGATAAGGTTGTGAACAGAGAGATGACTTTACTCCATTTACATTCACAAGCAGTTCAACAAGTGCAAAGAAGAAACTAGGAAGTTGAGACATTGAATGAACTTGGGCTAAAGAAAATCTAAGCAAACATATCTATCATTCTCAAATGATTGAAACAAGAATTGATTGATGCGCGATAAAACTTATCATACAGACCTACAATAGATGAAAAGGGAACAGAGTACTAAAGGAACTGCTTTCCCCAGGTTCAATCATATGTACCTAAATGACAAACTTAGCACATTTTCAAATTCATGTTATTGAACTCTTCTTAAGAATAGTAGCTAGTGACGAGCCTTTTACATGACAACACAATCAGTGAAGGGACCGACTTGGCTTGTGCCATCGATCACCTAAACGATCATATCTTTCACTTAACTGGAAAAAGATTGCAGCAATTAAGATAACTTTGAGCTAGTTGAACAGAGAAATGATCACCTGTATCAATGAAACCAATGATTACATTAACTTGGTTCTTGGTGGAAAAACCTGGGATTTCCATTGTTTCATCTTCACTGAGCCCCATAAAATCCCATGAATGAGTTGTATGCAGGTTCCTCTTAGTATTTGGAAATACAGATACCACACCAGGCATTTCTGTTTTGTTTCAACATTCAAATAGTGGACTGAGTGCAAACCATCAAAGTAGGTAATCAACAGTAACATAAAACATTAGGTAAAAGCCTCACTAGATATTTCAGAAGCCTGTTTCTCAGTCAACTTGGCTGCAAAGCCTTTAAAACCATGTCTATAACTGTATACATGAGAAGTCTTGGCTTGTTCAACACTGTAAAGGTTATTGACCACTTCAGTTTTTTTGCCAAAAACAGACCAAAAGGGGGGAAACAAACTCATAGCTAAAAGTACCAAGAACTTACTTTCCTCCATGAATATCAGTAAGCATTTGATGGTTTTGCCTCAAAATCTCATCTTGGTGCTCATCACTATCTTTGCTTCCCATGTACACCACATATAACTGAAGAAAGAAAAAAAAACACAGCTTTACTAACTATTCATCATTCAAATAAAACCCCATGTCCCCATATAGTTGATACAGAGCCAACTTTACCTTGGAAGAAAAGCAGAGACTAATTTCTCCAAGAAAAACACAAAGAAAGAGTAAAAAAAGAGTCTTTTTTGAAACACCCATCTCCTATCTTGATGTAAAAGAATGTATTATCAACTACAAGCAGAAAAAAAGATGAGGTTTTTATAGCAGAACAAGACACAGAGAGAGAGAAAGAGAAAGAATGATTTGAAAATAAAGAGGAGAGGGAGAGAGAAAAGAGGGAAAGATTATTCAGTGTCACAGGTATACTGTGGTAATAGTAGTAGACAAGTATATTTCCATTAACTCGTTCAGGGACAGTAGTACACAAGATAAAGTGAGATATTCTGTATTATCTTATTTAATCTCCTAGATAATTTTGAAATAACTTTTTTCGCGAACCAAACGATTGCTTAGAGAAACTTGTTTAGTGAGACAAAAGAAAATGGAAAACGTGAAGACTGGAGAAAAGTGGTGAAAAATGGTTTCTTTGCTTTTAACTGAACCAAGCACGAGGGAGGCCACTAGAGCAACAGTTAGTGAGTATTCAGTAGACCGTTAAAAAGGGTAATTATTCGATTCTTGTGTTGTGTGGAGTAATTATATTTTAGTGGTACGTGCTATTATGTGAAGAGAAAACGCTATTATTTTTTTTTTGATTTTTTATTCGGTATTCAATATATCTATATTGGATTTAGATTAAATTTAATTCGGA